AAGCATGTAACAATGTCAAATTTAAAGTTGCAAATTGAAGTCACCAAACATAGTAGGGCTGTTTCTTTTGCAGGGCTTTTCTACATGAAAAAAAAAAAATTTTGAGGGTCAGATAAAAAGAAAAAGGGAGAGTATTTCTGATTAAAACTGGGTCTGAGCAAAAACAAATTTCACAGAGTAATTGCTGTAAATGGAATTATTTCAGTCTCAAGTAGAGACACCTACAGTCAGTGATGGACCCTTTTTACACAATGTCTCTCACATGTCCCCAGAGAAGTCCATTTTCAGCTTGTTCTCAGTCAAGTGAATAAATGTGTCATTACTCAACACCCTCCCTCACACTCCTTTCCACTCTCTCCCTCTCTGCTGGCCACACCCTCCTTTCTTTTACCATACCAGCAGTGCCCGACGACAAGCCATTTGTCAAAACAACGTTTTTATTGCTATTACTTGGTCACATTATTCTCTAATTATAACTTCTACACTTGTGACATTTGCACAGCCATTTATCCCTCAGCTTGAAATTAGCTGTTAACAAATCATCAGGCTCGTAAAACTGCCTAACAGGGCTTGATATGACTGAGCTTATGGCCTTTTATGAAACACAGCGATAATAACGGATATGTATTTTTTTATTATGGCTCCCCTGAGAGATATTGTGGATGTTTGATAAATTGGATTCAGAGATAACTTTTGCCTTAATTTGATGCTAAAGTTACCAGTCTGCGTTGTTAAATAACCTTGATTCTTGCAGACTAGTTTGACATTGGTGAGGTCTGGGAGCTCAAGTTGAACTTTTATAAAGTGTGCCTCCAACCTGAGGACCAGACGAGCCCTTAGGTCAAACATTCAGACACACAGACACAAACATATTCTTCAGTGGATTCCAATGGGCCAAGTCAGAGCAGGGTATGGATAGATTTTTTTTAATCCTTAGTTTTAGCTCATGCATTTCTCCCTGTCCATCCATCTTATTTTAAACACACAGTGAATCTTTCTCTAATACCCAAGGCTAATCAAAATGGTATGAGACCAGCTTCAGCTATGAAATACATAATGACTTTGGATCCCCATGTAGCTGAACTACCCCATCTTTAGTTAGTTTTCCTTCCTCGCATCAGAGGTTACCAAACTCTTTCAATGGCGAAGGAAATACATTTTATTACTCTGGGAATGATGCTGTGGAACCAAGAAATATGGTATCTGTAACCTTAAAGCACTATTGTCACGTAATTTACTTGAGTTGAGATTAAAAATAGACAAAATAAACAAAACAGGTCATGTGGAAAAAAAAATTTTTAAAGGGAAATTTCATATCAAATGATGGTGCTGGTGCCGGAAGAACAATAGATTTTGCAGCAGGTGAACTCAGCTTTCACAGAGACATAGCACCACTGAGGAATGCATTGCTTCCATCGCCTACATTTACCATCAACACTAATTGATAGGGGTGTGACGAGATCTCTTGAGATAAAATTGTGATGATATTTCTCGGCAGGTAAAAAGGTGTCTCGCGAGACTCACGCAAATGACATTTTTCGCACGCTGTCAAGCCACACATTCATTTCCTCACGCAATGAAATACAAATGTAGTATAACTGATAAGATAGACTTGCTTATTGACACCGGCGTAACCCACTGGCGCTGTGAGTGGTAACGTAGCTGATATTTTGCAACATATACATCTAAAAGATATTTGAGGACTGTGAGCTGCACTTTATCGGAGCTGCTGAAGTTAACGTGTGTAGATTTGTGGTGAGATTTCTGCCTGATCAAAAGCGTTTCATTTACTTTCACACAGTCCCAACCTGCATCGGTCAAACCATCTGAAGGGGATAATGTTACTACCAGCAGATCAAAAATGTAATGCACAACAGAGTATAGGGCAGGTAGACTCATTATATTCTTTTATAGTTAGGCTATAGAGTTTGAATTGTCACATGCCACCTGAATTTTGTGTTTCTCTTTATATAAATTTTAAAAAATCACCATAAAGTGGTGCAGAAAATTCATCATAATGCAGGAAATAAAGTGTTTAATGCTCAAAATATTATTTTTTTTAAATAGTGTTAAAATCTCATCTCGTCTCGATCTCATGAACCCAATCTCGAATCTTGTCTTGTCTCGTGGGTTAAGTGTCTCATCACACCCCTACTACTTGGACATCAATCCCACACCAGTTTTCCCTTTGAAGGACAATTTCAATATTTTTAAACCTGGGAACTATTTTCACATATTTTGGTGTTGAAATGACTAGTAGGTACAACACTTTTTGGAAACCGTGCAGTAGATGGCTTCAGCCGGCAGCCACAAACCGGCTGCGGTGGACGCAATTGATTCCTTTGGGACAATTGCGCCCATCAAAAAATGCTTCTTTTTGCCACAGACAGACTCAGACTGTTATACAAGATGTCTTACAGCATCATGGAAAAGATCCCTATGAGTAACTCCCGGTGACACCCTTTTTTTTTAACAAGAAACAGAAGTCTCTCTCAAGGACTATTCTCATTCTGAAATCTTGTGAGAGGTGAGGTGATGCAGGAAGATGACGGTGGAAAGTGAGTCAGTTGGAGAGAGGAGTTTGTACTAACGATAGGAAATCAAGTCTTGCTATCAGTTCCTCTATGTACACAAACTACTCTCCCTTGTGTCCTGCATGTAAAGAGATCATCCTGGTATTTTCACTTCTTTGCTGGTGTTTTGTAAAATGTAAAAATAGTTAGGGCTCATTCTGGAGCAGTTACGTTTTAAATGAATCTGACTCCATGGAATGAATCCAAAGCAAAAGAGATCACTTTCGTTGCTTTCTTCAGGTCCTGTGGACAAATTGGATGCATATTACTTTTTGTTTGTTTTCTTCTTGACATTATAATTCCACATTCATTTAGTTTAATCTCCCTTTCCACAAGTGCTCTTAATTGCTTTGTTGCCAAGAGCATGAGTACAATACAAATACAAATATACAAAGATACAAATTCTTCATGATTGACATATTTGGATATTTTTTCTCTTTATTAACAACCACTGTTTACAAAAATATATGAAAATAAAACCTCTTTCTAGTAAATGTAATTTTTGTATTTTTAAAACATTAACCTCTGGACATTGGGGGCAAAATCACTGGTTTGGAGAGCAGACAGCTGCAGTTGCATCTAGCAAACAATTACCAATATGCTTCATCAGCTGATATAGGTAACGTCTGTGCTCGCTGGCATTGCACAATGATGATGTGCGCCAAAAGCAACTGTAGCATGCTCACAGGCTCAGACTGCTCCTACAATAAACAGCACAAAATCTCTCATGTGTGATTATCATTTTATTTTTACTCGCCAAGCGGAAGCAAATTATATCATTCACAGAATACCTTTTTAGTATCAGAGGATTCTAACATGTCTGCGTGTGCCAATTTGTTTTGTTTGGAGCACAAGATGAATTGGGACAGCAGGCTCGCCTTTGGGAGAACAATTTGTTTGCTTGTTAGCTTTAAGATCCTGTTTTATCTAGATGCACAAATCCGGCAGTGGCATGAACTCCAACTCAGTGCCTCTGGGAGGAGGGGCTGAAGCCAAGTGAAGCTCTTCCAATCTGGCCCACTTGGTGAGCCTTGCACAACACACACACAGGCCAAAGGAATATGTATAATTTGTTCATTTTATGACTTTGTGATTATGCCGAAAGACATTTCTTGCTTCCCATCGAAAATTTTATACCCTGGCTGCTTTGTGACAAAATGGCTACGGAGATTTTCCGAGTGTGTTTGTATATTTTCGTCTGGCAGTCAAAAGGCCTGCAGTTGGCACCTTGAATGAACTCCACGGCACTTAAAAAATATTATTAACTTAATCCTGTGAAGTCTCAGAGAAATCTAGTCCAGCCCAGCTTTAAGTGCCAGCTGCAGTAATTGCTGCAAGTGTTTTGTCCCCCTGAAGTTTAAATGAAAGGTGTGTTTCACTTTATCAGCAAATAGAGGAAGAAATAGCCTCAGAGAGGACACGTAGGTGCGTTTTGACTGCAAATGTCTGCAGAAGAGGATTAATGTTTGTGGACGATAACTAACCTGATTAAAAAACCCTGATTCAAATTTAACTAATCCAGTTTTTTTAATTGTTGATACCTTAAATAAAGTTTAAGGCGACAGCATAAGCAAAGATTACTTGAAACAAACACTTAAAACAAACTCACACACATTCACAGACGTATGATGGAGTATTTACAGTCAGTGCAACATTATCCAGAATTCCAAGACAAAGTCCTTGTATGGGAAAATCTACTTTGCAACAAACCGGATTCTGATGCGCTCAGATCTCACAGCTCTCACCTAACTCCCAAATAAACTGGAGCCAGCCATTTGCAGCAAACACGCACAGCCAAGCAAACTGTACTGTATGGGCCTGGTAAAGAAAGTCAAGCATCTGTAGTGCCTAAATATTCTTTCTTAGCAGCTGGTGGAGCCCAAACCAGAGCTAAAAGACAACTTAATAGAATAGTACTCCATGTTGCTCTGTGTCTCCTGAATGAATGGCGTAATAGAAGAACATACGTATTATCTTAGTATGTGTTTCTGTGAGGCTTAATACCAACTACTACTCCAAATATTAGACTTGGTTTTGCTGGCATATTCTTAGATCCTTAGTAATTACATTCATAGTAGACACGTCTGAATGTTTCCTTTATGCATCTATCATCTATCAAGCAAACATTTCAGCATCTCAAATGTGACCACCTGCTGCTTTTCTCTGTCATATATTATTGTACATTAAATACATTTGGATGTTGGATACTGGTCTTTCACTTGGCTCTGTGAAATTGTGATCAGAGCCCACTTTAACAACCAGTGGCTTAAGTTATTGTGCACTTGAAGAATGTGTTCAGAAGGTAAACACAGGCTACACATTGTCCTTCAGTTCATGCATTGTACGGCCAAGCACGGTGTTTCAGGTTGTGCCAACGCCCTCTAGCTGCGTGCAGGGGTGTTGCAGCCTCAAAGGGTTCCAGTCCACAGCTTCTCCTCCCCGAAGCTCGCCTTTCATGTCACTAGTGCTACTTGTATGTGCAGACGCAGCCAATCTCATCCTCATGACGCCACCGAGGCTGGGCTCAGAGGGCTTCGATCATAATATTTAACACACCCACCCTGGATGAACACTTGGAAGGAAGACAAGGCAGCGTAAAGGGGACAAATGACAGCCGGGATCCCTGCACCTGCCAGCCAGCCTCTGATTTGACTTCAGCGAGGTTTGCAGCTCTTGTCAAGAAGCGGGACAGAAGTGGGTTTTTTTAATGGAATTTTCACTTTCGTACAAATTATCATCCTAAATACTAAGAAATCTGTGTTTTTGTGGACTATTTCAATCTCTCCTGTTAGTTCTCTCCCAGAAGAAGACAGTTATGACAGATTTGACATCTCACTCCGTGCTGGCAGCAACAGAAGGAAGTAGATTTAAGGAAGAATATCGGTGCTTTAAACAGGACCCCCTCCTCCTCCCTCCTGTTACCTCCTCTTAACGATTTATTTACTGGTCCGTTCTCCTGACACTGTATCCTATTCAACAAGGCAATGACTGAAGAGCACTTCTTGAGCCGCTGCCAGTGAAGTCTCCAGTGCTCACAATGTGTCGCTCTGTCCACCTGTCTGGGAATGAAGATTTGGGACTATTGTAATAATAATAATAATAATAATAATAATAACAATAATAATAATTAGCCTACAAAATAAAGACTGAGCACATCATGGAGTTCTTAACATAGGCTAACAAGCATTATGTGTGCAAAGATCAGAGTAAATCTTCAAACCAACAGCTGCTTTGTCATCGCGTAACACTGTTGGACATCAATGTAAGGTGCGCTGCGCTTAAAGCTTACTCTGTGTCAAGAACAAAAAATGATAAAGATGATATTGTTTCGTAAATTCAGAGTGTTGATACTTATGGTGTTTTTAGTAGCGTGCACCATGCACATCATGATAGACTTGTTACCGAAACTGGAGAAGCGAGCGGCGGGAGCGGACAGCGCGGACGGCGGCTGTCAGTGCGCTCACCACCCGGGCGGGGAGTCGCAGGGCTGGGGGAAGCAACGCGCCAGGTCGGCGGCTGAAGCGGGCTGGCCTAACAAGCACACGCTGAGAATCCTACAGGATTTCAGCAACGAACCGAGCTCCAACCTCACATCGCACTCCCTGGAAAAGATCACGACCGCCGCCGGGGACAGAGCGGAGTCATTCAGGCGCAGTAGACCGTTGGCGGGGAAGGCGGAGGACCACAAGCCGCTCATCGGAGACGCGAGCGGGGGTCGGACCGTCCCTGCCCACGGTGTCTCCCGACTGTCGGCTCTGTTTGAGCATCCTTTATACAAGGTTGACCTTCCTCCCCTCGCGGACGATGACACTTTGTTTAACGTCAACACCGACATCAGGTTTTATCCCAGGACAACAAGGAACCAGGGATGGTAAGCTGATGGGAATTTGTTAAAGTTGAAAGGTTATAAGTGGGATAGTCAGACTGCTACCCTACAACATATTTGACTGGGATGCAAGTAAGGGACCAAAAGTAGGTGGTTGGTTATATGTTTGCCCCATAAAGAAATAGGGTAAAGGAGTTAATTTGGTTTGAAATATTTGTATTCAATTAGGCTATGCTGTTCGATCTTACTCTGCTTATACTACCAAATGTACATGCAGGCCTACATATCTATCTATCTATCTATCTATCTAATCAGTTTACATCTCTTCTATGCCTTTAGTTTAATGTCCACTCATGCATCTGCTGCATCCACCCATCTCTCCTATTATCATGCCATCTTACCTTTTTAGGCACACACACAATTCATGAGTTACCATCCTGCAGGATCTTTTAGTATTCTTGGGTAATACCAGCAAATAAAACCTAATAATACAATATAACCTCATAATACGAACACATAATAGAATAAAGTGCTCTATGCCAGTTCCTTCAGCATCAATTTGTCTGATACAGTTATATTAGTCTATGTTAGACTGCAGCAAATGCTGTAATTATTAATTACATAGACTAAAAATAATCTTTACAGGAATCTGCTTGCACAACAACTTCTTTTAAAATCTCCTCTCCCCCCTTTTTCAGGAACAATGAGGATGGGAATGAAGAGGAGGAGGAGTTCTCTCCAACAGGAGGGGTGACGGCAGAATCTTACCCCAACTGGTTACGTTTCCACATTGGCATCAACCGCTACGAGCTGTACTCCAGACACAATCCTGTGTTGGATGCCCTACTGAAGGACCTGGTCACACAGAGGATCACCAGCGTAGGTGAGTAAGTCAGGGAGAGTTATGTTAACAAGGTGTGTGTGTGTGTGTGTGAAGTGTAGGAGCTGGTGGAATATACCGCATATGTGTATACGTCAGCCTGTACTGTAGATTGGGCTGAATATGTGGCCATTATTGATATCTGTCAAGTAGTGGCCTCATGGTGAACAGACATGTTGGAGGTTTGTTCTTTACCGCTAAAAGTTAAGAACAGCCTGCCAATAAAGCATTTTTGTTTTTGTTTCATTTTAATTCACAGAACTGTTTGATTGTGGTTTGAACTAACCTAACTAAAAACTAGCCTACCTTAAATATTTTCATTACAGTGATACATGTCTCTATCTTGTGATATAATGCAACTGGCAAGAGCAACGTTATTATGGGTAAATAAAATAAAAAGTATTTATTTAAAAAAATAAGACTGTATTAAGTCTTGGGGGGCAGTATCAGCCTTCAAAAACCCAAACTGGTTGAACCCTTGAGTGAGGTGAGTGCACGTGACTTGTCTGAGTGTGCAATGAATCACAATGTGTGGGTTCCTGTGTACACAGTATGATTGTGTGTGGATGTGTGTGAGTAGGAGGCCCAAATCACACACATATCTGGCCCTTTATCTGCATTTCTGCTTATGTGTGCAAGTTTATAAATCTGCGTTCAGCTGCCTTTTCTCTTGGGAACTGGATATGGATTCTAACAACCAAATGACGCAAGTGTACCGGTGTGTGAGAAAACATGCGACCGCAATGTTGGTTAAGTTATGTATCACAGCTGCTAATGACTTAATCATAAATAAATCCACTACAGGTCCCACTGAGGGATATGCAGCAGAGAACATCAGTTTTACTGAATTGAAAGTAAGAATTGGAAGACAGATCGGGAGAAAATGAAAATCACACATGCCTAAAAAACTTAACATAGCTACTAAACATCTTCAGGAGTCTGAATATCTAAACATTGCTTTCATTACTAAATATCCATTACTGTCTGTCATGTGGAGAAACGTTGCTTTTAAACCAGATAAATAAGTGGAATCAGTGCAAAAGGAAGTTAACTTACACTTGCTGTTTTGAGAATATCTGCTCTAATTATAGTCAGAAAAGGAAAAACAAATAGGTCGACGTAGTTGGAGTTTCTGTGAGTTATTTGTCTCTCCGACTGATTTGTATTGTTATTCACTGTTTTCACTGTAAATGAAACACTATAAATGCAGTTTATTGACGCATTATACTGATGCCATCTTATCCAAATCCCCTTTGTGAAAGAGATGTTGTCTCAGTGTGAAGACAAACAACAGTGATTAATATTCACGAATATGAAGCAAATTATTTGCATTATCATTTTTGCTATAGTGGCTTCATACAAACTGGACGGTGAATGCCAAAACATCCTCCTCTGTTCTTATCTCCGTCTATTTGTGCATCAGTGTTCGAAAAGAGTCATTGTGCTTCTTATTGACACTGTCTGCACTGTCTCCTTGTTATTAGGCCCTCTATCTCGCACAGGCAGCTCACAATCATTCACGCCACACATCTCAGCATACACTTTAGTAGTTTGTGTGTGTTTTTGTCCCCTGTGTTTATAATATATAAACCATCAATCTATGCCCAAACACACCTATAAAAGCGCTCTCTGTCTGCTGAATAGAAAACCCAGTGCAGTGTGTGTTTGTCTGTGTGTGTGCCTGGAAGCATGGATTACAGCTTTGCGCCCAGTAATTGGTGCACACACTTACTACTTATCTGTCTCACTAAAATTACAAAAAAAAGAGACAGCATTAGAAAGTTTCCCTGTTCAGCGTTTTCTGCGCAGTTATGCTTCCCTCCCTCCTTCCCTGCTCTGTTTCTGTCTCTCTGTTGGGGCGGGCTGCATGTGGCCTTTTGTTCAGTCTTCAGCTGGACTCATAAATCATACGCACAGTAGCATGCAGTGGCACAGGTGAGAGCAGAGTGGATTCATCATCGTGGCATTGGGATGGGAGGGGAGTCTGAAAGCGGTGGGTGAGGCCCGCAGCTTTCCGAAAGACCAGATAACATGAAGGTTTAGAAACGACGACAGGGGACATCGATTCATTTGTGGACGCTTGGAGGAACAAGCGCTAGAGATAGATGGCTAGATCAACCGAGACACATATATTCGCACACGGATGCTGAGACAGATGGCCTTTAGGAGAATCAAAAGAATGTCTTGTTGAAGTTTCCTGTTGTTCAGAGTCATGTTTGATTGCATGTCAGCGCAGATACAATCCAGAGAAACAATCAGCTGAACTTTGCCAGGGTTTTTTCACAGGGAATTACTTTTTTTGTGTTCAGTTAAAAAACAACATTTTATAAATATCCAGCACCAGGCAGAAAATTGAAGTCAGTCCCTCAAAGATTGTGGCTTATGGGTTTAAGGTTACAGCATTAAAACATAGTTCATAGTCGTTTGCAATCTCTCAAAGGTTTTAGGCTTGCTGTATAGCTGTACCAAGTTGAAGATTACTCTAGGGCAAAACTCCACTTGATCTGGCTGCAGCAAATCTGGAACATGTGTAGGCCTAATGCTCTCAGTGTATTCTTTGGATTTAGTTTCACTCAATATCCATCCTCTGTCGTAAAGCAAAGGCGCAGATCTGAGGTTATGTAGGTTGTACAGCGGATGGAAAAAACGAACGCATTTGAAATTGAGTCACGGCAAATGGGGAGGCTTGCCAGCGGTGAGTGAGACAAAGTGAGACAGACAGAGCGTAACAGAGAGAATAAGAATCAAAGGATGACAAATACAAACAAGAACGAGGGACAATCTGAGAGAAACAGCTTTAGAGTCAATAAAGACAAAAGACAGTTTGTGCAGGGGGTAGAGTGCAGGCAGTTACTCAGCCAGAAAGTTAGTCAGTAAGTGGGTCCACTACAGGGGGCTTATATTGATATTGGGGTTAGGCAGAAGCGCGTGTTGTGTAATATGCTCAAGTTAATACGCTGTAATAAATGGGTAAATCCCCCGAAAGCCTGTCCATTATGACAGAAACACAAGGCATTTAGACAGGCCTGGCGGTCCCTTTGTTCTAGTCGGAGGCAGGCAGGAAGCTCACAGTAAGTCTCCATCACCCTCTGGGAGACACCGTGGACATGACTGATAGTCAGAGACATGTGCCCTGGCTCCTCTCCCAGGGTACAGGAGGACAGTTTGATGCGAGTGAGAAGAGAAGTGGTTGTGGAGAGTCAAGCGTGTGTGGTTACTACACGTGCGCAAGCATTCACTGACAATGTGTACAATCCACAGAGGCTTACAGAGAAACATCTGGTCAGAATCAGGTCTGTTATGTAGCATGTGCACACGGATGGGAACACACAGTTGGGGTCAATTCATTTGTGATTGAATTCAGTAACATAGTAATGACACCATAGTAATGCGCTGCGGAATTGTAGTTTTAGTGGCCTTTATATCTTAAAAGTGAGCAGAAATTTTTCATTCAATCAATGTGCGACACGTGTTGATCTAAAGACACATGTCTTCTGCAAGAACACACAGCCACTCGGTTACATTCAGACAAATTGTGTGTTTCCATGTTGATCCCTCCTTCAAACGCAGAAATTGTTTTCAGCAGATGCTTTTCATGCTCTCAGCCACACCCAGGTGCTAACAACCACCATTGCACTTTGGTTGTCAGGCAAATTGGTCAACAGATGTGACAGCTCTGTTACGCAGTCATGCAAACTTGCTTTCTCCAATTTGGCAAATAGCAAAACAGCTGTGCATATGTGCAAGTATATTTTTGTGTTTATGTTTATATGTGTGTAAATGTGTGTGTGTGTGTGTGTGTGTGTGTGTGTGTGTGTGTTTATGCTTCAAATGCTGATCTAACATCTTGATTGTTTTCTTCCCAGCCATGAAATCAGGAGGCACCCAGCTAAAGTTGATCATGACTTTCCAGAACTACGGACAAGCGCTGTTCAAGCCCATGAAGTAAGTAGCACCGCAAGTGACTGCATGCTAGCACAGACATTCTACATTTACATATTACCCTGCAGTACATTATTTATGTATTGCAGATATTATCATTGTTAGAGTGCCCTTGTTAAACTTCTAATAGCAGTTTCTTAGCATTTCTCAGATTCCAGCAAATCTGCATTTTCTAACATCAAAAATCTGTTTGATATACTTGGATATGTTTCAAGAGGGCTACAGGATATCTCATCTGAATAAGTGCCAAACATTGCCGCTGCATCTTTTGGTGCGTTCAGATATGCAGCTTCCCCCCTGTCTGATCTTTTTCTGTCTGCTTTTTAATTAACATCAATAGGCTTATGTGTTAATTAAAATGAGCACTGAGCCATCGTGAAGGCATCTTTGGGGAGGCATATATGCTGGCAAAGGCGCAGTGCGCATGAAAAAGAAATGCCCTCCCTTTCAGCTGTCTGAGTTTTGCCCGGTGAATTCCCATGCCAACACGGATAAACAGTGTCCAGGCCAAGTGGGCTGCGATCAGAAGTAATTGCTCAGGAGCCTGGTTTGATTGCTATGAAATGCAGAATGGTTTTCTTCATGAGAGCCTCGGTGGAGTGTATTAGATCCTGGGAGAGAGAGATGGAGACAGACATAGAGGGTGTTTGCTTGCAGAACTGGCGAGTGATGCCTGTGAAAGCCCAAAGTGTCATATCTTGACAACCTGCACAGGTATAGTTTGCCATGATTCTTTATTTCAGGTGCACCAATCCTATTACCACACCAGCCAAAGTCACATTAGTGAGAGGATAAGGAGTCTAGGCCTGTGAGTTCAACATCAGCTTGGAAATGAATTATGAAATGTTGCTACTGAATATCTTTTCACTGTCTGTTCTTGATTTATGGAGAGGCTCCAAAGTTTATTCAACATTTATTGTGCTTAGTTTTCATACCCCTTATTCAGCACCTCTTTACCTGAATGCAGTGGCACTTCATCCGTGAATATATACACAAAAACATCAGCAACAGACAGAATTTGGACGAGTAATTTTTTCCGTATCCTGAGTTGGCATTTCATTTCAAGGTCAGTCAGTGGCTGAATTTTAGAACACGAGGCGTTGTTTACTAAATTAGCCTCAGAAAATATGGGCCAAATTATGGCAATCCGAGCATATATTGTAGCTTTCATACACACAAGCCTTTCAGTCACCACAGCACCCAGCAGGCATCAATGGCACATTCATATCTGACAAGAACAGATGCTGTGTTTGTGTGTGTCTGTGTGAGTATTTTTGATTAGCTATTAGACTGGCCTAGGCATTCAGGGGCTGCTTCTAGGCAATATGGACAATCAGACAATATGTGCACATGCATGAGTAGTATGCATAAGTGCCAGTGAGATGGCAGGATGGGTCAAAGAAGGAGGAGAGCATTGTGGTCACGCTATGTGCTGTTGCTGTGTTATTAAGGGTATTAACAGGAGAAGGCCATCATCAGCAGTCATGCAATCTCTTGTTGCTTTACATATAGGATAGGACATACATGCAAATACATGTATACATACATACTATGTACTCACCGGCCACTTTATTAGGTACACCTGTTCAATTGAGCTAAAGATTAAAAGATTGGAAAAATGTTGCCTGGTCTGATGAGTCTTGATTTCATCTGTGGATCCATCCCCCCTTGTATCAACAGTTCAGGCTGGTGGTGGTGGTGTAATGGTGTGGGAGATATTTTCTTGGCACACTTTGGGCCCCTTAGTACCAACTGAGCATTGTTTAAACGCGACAGCCTACCTGAGTATTGTTTCTGATGGTGTCCATCCCTTTATGACCACAGTGTACCCATCTTCTGATGGCTACTTCCAGCAGGATAATGCACCATGTCACAAAGCTCAAATCAGCTTTTTTCAACATGACAATGAGTTCACTGTACTTCACTGGCCTCCACAGTCACCAGATCTCAATCCAACAGAGCACCTTTGGGATGTGGTGGAACAGGAGATTTGCATCATGGATGTGCAGCTGACAAATCTGCAGCAACTGTGTGATGCTGTCATGTCAATATGGAACATAGTCTCTGAGGAATGTTTCCAACACCTTGTTGACAAAATTTAAGGCAGTTCTGAAAGCAAAAGATGGTCCAACCCGGTACTAGCAACGTGTACCTAATAAAGTGGCTAGTGATAATACTAATCTGGCATAATACTTGATACATAGATGAAGATTAAAGCATACGACCAAAATCAACAAAACTCAAGGCAAACAGGAAGTGTTTATAAAAAGGCTAACCTGTAGAAATGAGATTCTCTGAAACCACAGATTTTGAATACTGGAACAGAGAAGGATATTCCAGATTTTAGGAGCTACAACTGAAAAAAACGCGGCCACTTCTGGATTTAAATAAGGAATAGGACAGGATAAAAGCCCTTGATCCAATTATCTGTGTCAAGGTGGTGTCAAATGCAGCGGAGAAGCGGAGTAAAATTAACATTGAATAGTCCCCTTTGTCTGCACACCTGCGGCACTATTTCAGTGTTTCTGACGGATTTATACTTATGAAAGATATTATGTTCCTCAACCAGTTGGAGAAGCTGGTTGGTGACAGCTTTTTCTAGAATTTTAGAAAGGAATGGATGTTTGGAAATGGGCCTATACTTATCTAAAATGGTGTCAACTAGCTAGGCTTTTATATATATTAAGGAGGAGAGGAGAGGGTGACTGACAATAGAGAAAAGACAGGGGGCAATGACAGGGAGGACCTCTTTCAGAAATTTAGTAGGGATTATGTCAGTAGGGATGGGTGATGAACGCATATGAGAAACTATATCTGAGAGTTGAATGGAAATAATGCTGACAGCAGAACACGAAAGGTGGCAGAGTGATAAATACCATGATTGAAATATGATCTGAGACCAGCGATCTTGCCAGCTAAGAAATTTAGGAACTTATCACAGTCGTCAGAGGAGGTGGCAGGAAAACTAAATTGGGTAATGCTTGTTATTGTTAAATGTATGTAGGTTTTGTCAAGCAGAACACAGATAAAAAGTCCCTGAGGACTGAAGGCCGTGTCAACATATAAAATATAAAATTGTCTTAAAAACAAAACATCATAGCACCATTGCAACTTATTAAAACTACTAAACATAAAGCATACACTTATCTAAAGTGTCTTTAGACTTGAAGTGGCAGATGTTCTGAATTTCATGTCTGAGTAATAGAATAGCCACATTTTTCAATATACCTTCAGCTGAGTGGAAGATTGAAGTCTCAGGTTCAGAGTTATTAAAATCTAGGTAAATGATTAAATTATAGGTTCCATGAGTTTCTTTTTAAAACTTAAATGAACTTAGAAACTTGAAAATGTAAAGGAAAAGCGCTGCTTTCTTACAGTATAAGTAAAGCAGTCTTTCTCAGTTGCTGTAAAAAACAGCTTTGACTTTAATTACATGTCATTTTCTGAATTATATGCTACAGATTCCTGCAACTCTTATTTAGCCTGTCATATTTTATTCAGAGTCCTTGCTTTGGCTGTCACAGTGATCTGTCTCCAGTGTTTACAGATATTATACAAAAGTCCTCAGAGCGCAAACAGAAATACAGTTTTCTGAGTGAAACAATGTAGAAAAATAATCTTTGTTCCACTTTTCTTAAAGCACATCATGAGGTTCTGTCATTTCTACCATGGCACTGATGTGTCCCACTTTTATTTTTGCTACTGTGGTGCATTCTGGGTACAGTAGTTCAGAACGTTGCTGTGTTGCATTGTTTTTCTTCACCTGTCCCATTGCGCAGCATCAAGTGGTGCTTCAAAGAGGCTTTGATGTTTCGGGCCTCCTTTGAGCCGAATGCAAATCTGCACACTGGCATGGGCCAGGAAACTGCACAAGCTGACAGCTTGCCAGACACCTCCACACGATGTTTTCTCTGTGCTGCTCTGGGAAAAAAGTTTGGAGCTCCGTTTTATCTGTCTGACTAACTCTATGATTGCTTTGGTGGGTGCCCACAAAGGGGTAGAAGATGCTTGTATCATTTTTTATTCTGCAATTTGGTGAAGGGGTTTAGGTCACAACGACTTGTTTTCCCCACACAAAAAATGATCCCCTCTGATTTTTGTGCTAGCCAAATGTTTATGATACATTCCCACGCAAGAATTTGACAATCAAACATGTACAAATATAGTGCTTTGACTACCTAAAAGTAAAAAGTGGATGATTTTCATTGGCGTCACCTGTGAGAAAGTCTTTGCTTTATTCAACAAAAATGAATACAAAATAGATTCAATTGGAACTAAAGATGGGAACATCAGATGGCTGTGAGTAAAAAGGTCAAAGGCTGCCATCCTGCCAGGAGTGAAATTAAGTGGCATGTGAAAAGAGAGAGAGGGCTGGTGTTGGATAACAGATGAGAAGCAGAGATTGACCAGAGATCACTGCCAACCTGTCAAGGAACTGGGTCCTCCAGCTGGAGCCAGGTTACAGGGGGCAACCCTGCATGCCAGGCCTTCGTGTCTGTTTGGCTTGAGTCCCTGATGCCTGTCCTATCCCATATCCTGCCAAGATTCTGGTTCTGGTGTGTATACATATGTTCATGTTATGCTAATTGGATGTGTCAGATAAAGGATTGAGGGAATGAGAAAGGAGGTATAAGCCTCAGACATGCAAAGAAAGAATTAATTTCTCCATCACACGCTGTTGGACAAGCCTGTTTCCACCTCCCCTCTCACTTTGATTTTGTTGATAGTATCAGAGTTCAAAATGGTTCACGAATTGCAAGAATAGCAGAAATGACTTTGATCATCCCTGTTTATTGTGTACATGCCCCAGTTGTGTTCAGAGCTGTCATATCCACACACATGTGAACATATATATATAGGGCACACATGGCCATCTTTAAGCACCGTGGGGAATCAGGATCCGTCCTCATCCGTGTGAACACTACCTGTTTTGACAAGCTTGAGCTCTTAACGCTGGTAAAGCCAGTGGGGCCTCTTTGCTGCAACACCCAAGAGGCAGCTTG